TTGCTCCATCCTCCTGGTCCTGTTGCTCCATCCTCCTGGTCCTGTTGATTCATCCTCCTGGTCCTGTTGATCCATCCTCCTGGTCCTGTTGATCCTGGATCATCAGATCCTGACATGTCCCCGTCCTCTGAGGACACATTTTCATCTGTCTCTCATCTCACTCGCCTCATTTCTGTTTCTTCCTCAGTCTCTGAAATTACAACGTCACTGTTAGAATGAAGATTATTGTTCAATAAAAAATATGACATGTCTTATTTAACACTATTCGTACTAAAGTTTAATTTAGAACAACATGTGTGATCACTGGTCAGGTCACTGGTCAGATCACTGGTCAGATCACTGGTCAGGTCACTGGTCAGTGGAAGTTCTGCGGTTCTTCTCATCTGGTTCTGGTCCATGAACAACTGGTTGAACCTCCTTCAGTCTCACACGTCCTCACTGTGTCTCTGTGAACTGTCCTCTCTCTAAATGTGTCTGTAGAGTGACATCAGTTTATTTTCTTGCACATTTCTTTGACAGTTAAACATTTTGAGCCCTGATTGAAAATGTTTGTGCAGATTAAATTTACAGCTCTCACTTTGTGTTGTTGTGATGATGATGATGATGATGATGGTGCTCCTGCTGACTTCAGATGATGTCATTAATAAACAGTATAAATAGTAGTAAAAGTACTTTATTAAAGCTTGCTTTACATTTTACATATTTTATAATAAATTGTTTGGAAATTTATTTTTGCACAGTTAACACTTATTTTGTCATCTGTTATGATTTTAACTAGAAACAGTTTCATTTAAATTAACATTTTAATCAATGAATTACAGTTTTACAATAGTTGTCAGGCTACAATCAACTCTGTTATCAGGTACTTGGTGCCATAAAAAAACGACAAATACAACAATTATATTCAGTCTCTCTTGTAAATGAGTCCTCGTGGCTCAATGGGACGAACCTGTTTAAATAAAGGTTGAATTAATATCTTCGATAGAAATCAAGAATTCATCCAGATGATCTGAGGTAAGCTGGAGCAGATCTGAACTGCTGCATGGAGGACAAGGTGGAGCATTATCCTGCAGAGAACATCAGAAACAGCTTTATAACAGGAGTTACTCTGATCTTTTTTTAACGTTATAAAACACTGACATGGCTTTATTGATCATTGTATTGCATATACATTATTTTTCTAACAAATATGTGTTTGCAGTCTCGTTTCCTTCTAAAATTTAATGATAAATGTATCAGCTGCTTCTAAAAATGCTTTGATGAAATGCATAGTCTGTGAAATAATCAGTAATCAGTTAAGTAATCAGTTCGTTACTGCTCAGCAATTACTGAAAGACGCCAGGTAGAGTAAGAAAAGTCGATTTTTGTGTTATGTTGCGCCAGCAGCCGCTCAAACTGACTGACAGCGCTGAACTGTTTGGAACTACTGGGAGCTGCATGAGCCACGTGACCGCGTATCGGCGAGTTCAAAGAGTGTCGCAACTCTCTCTTTACAGGGCTCTGGTCCCAGCCAAAACTCCAAAAACAGACTTTCAGTAAGAACTGAAAGTTCCTGTAGGACTCGCCATCAGACTGAGTCTCATCTTCGACTGAAAGTTCCAGGAAGACTGGGAAGACTGAATAGTTCCAAGAAGTGTTGGCTTTTAAAGGGTATCCACTTCCTGTCACTTGGTACTTCCTGATTGGTTGAAACAACCAGCAGGGGTGTAGTTTTAGTGATGTCAGAGGGTTATTAGGAGTCAGCAGACAGCAGAAATGTTTTTAAGAATGGTTAGTACAGACAGGAAAATATTTTGAAGAAATGACAGACTTTGCAGGTGCCAGTTTCTTATTTACTGTCTGAGAGTTTTAAAAACAAGGCACTTTGTTCTCATAACTTGTGCTCTGACATTTGACCGACATAAAGTCCACTCCTCACACAGACAGAAGAGTAAATGCACACTTACTTCGTAAATAGACATTTAACTTGTATGATCTAAGTCTAATGAGGTTTAAAAATCATTAATACTGTTTCACAGTTGATTTAAATGAGTGGTTCACTTCAACATTAGAAATGGTATGAACTAGACACACTTTTGATTATCAAGATATTGTAAAATAGTAATGATAATAAAAAAAGAAGAGTGTTCTTTCAATTGATTAATTCAGGATACAATTAAATAGTCTCTTGATGAGATAATTTGTATTTCTGGATTCAAATCAATGAAATAACAGTTCCTGTCCCCTGAAGGTCTTCAGAGACAGATTGATGTCGGAGGTCTAGTTCACTACAGAGATGATTCTTTGTGTCCGAGTCCTGAAGATTGAAATAATTCTCCTCACTCCCTCTCATTGTTTCCATTCTGTTAAACACCTTAAGACAGGGGGGCTTTAATAGAAAAATCACTTATGAACAACTATTATCTTACCTGTTGCAGATTGCTGCTTGAATTACCTCAGTTTTAGTTTAATT